TATTATATAATGCACACAAAGAAGAATTGGATGTACAATACTGCATAATAGTAGAGAATAATTAAAACAGGATTATTTTTAATGCGTACAATTTATCTATAATATTATAAAACAGATTTACTTTATTTATTTTATTCTTTTAAAAATCATCAATTCGGCCGACATAAAAATCTTATTGCTTCTAAAATTTTCTTATTATTTATAGATTACCTAAATTCATAAATGTATTTTTATGCAAATACAATATTATTTTATTTGTATATTCGCATTTACAGCCAACACACATTAAAGTATAATATTTGTGTATCTTACAAAAAGGAATCTGAAGTCTTTCACATTCATACTTGTTCCAATACATACTTGTATTCATACATTAATGACATTTGTAACTCATAACTGCATGAAAACAAATGCTTAGTGATACACATGTATACACTATCAGCAATCAATTCATATTGAAGATTGCATGATATATTAGATTTTGTTAGAGGTGTTAAATGTGTCCGGCAATTATTTTTTCTTTTTGAGCTTTGGAACAACTTCAAACTGTGGTTTTTGCCAGTCCAATGGTTTACGGCGGTACATAGGCCATGGAGGAACAGTGATTAATGCTGCCATAACAAATCCAGCACTTAGAATATAGATTGTCTGCGAGAATTGTTGAATGGCGTATCCCCAAACGAAGCCGACTACCTGTAAAAAATATATACAAGTTTGATTAAAAAAGTAACGAACGTTGTAGCAATCACTCCCAGCATAATATTAAAATCTATTATGCACATTTGATATTGACTACGTATGTAATGTTAAACGTACACAACGTGTCTTTGGATAGGAGGCATTGGTAAAGAGCATAATCAGTAATCAATTGCTTTATTGTCAATTCATTTGTTAAGCGTAGAAAGCGTTTGGACTGGATTATCTGATGAAAAATATATGATGTTTTCTAATTGACATTCGTTATAAGATAATTGCCATGTATGAAAATTGTATCATAGGAAATGAAATAAATGTCGATTTGGCATGGTCTTCAGTGATTAGAAATCATATCACATTGCATGTTGTTCTTCATAAGATGAATTTTTGAAATAAATTTTTATTTCTTCACTTAATGAGTGAACTGGACGGCTCCTGTTTGAGAATATGTGATGTCACATATACATTACACTCATGTAACATTGCGTATGTAGCCAACATCAAATATACATAATAGACTTTTTGATATCATGCTGGAGATAGCTGCTACTGCAATCACCTTTTCATTTGATCAATCTAATTCTGTATTTTAACTATGATAATAATTTCAAGTATTTTCTAGAAAATGGTAGCTTACCCCAAATAACGTTATTATGACCCGCGACAATCTCTCTGCTCTAGCTTGGCCATCATAATCCTAAAACAAATAGTATAAATAATAAGAGTACATAAATTTAAAGGGCTCGCTTAGTATAAATAACATATCGTATAAATAACATATATGGAATACAAATTTACAAGTAACTAATAAATATAGAAGAAATTTATTTATAGATTTGCAGTGTTATTTACAACACGTAAATTATTTAAGTAAATACGTAAATTATTTCGCGGTATCAATCGCGTTGGCATACGGTGCCTTGATAATCCTAACCTCGCGAATAAGGAATGCACTCGCCTTGAATATATCGCGGATTGATATCCGTTTCAGCGTGATTATTCAAAGACTTCGTTACTTACCATATACGTTGGAATGGATTTGAAGTATTGCATCCACGCGTTCATTGTGAACAAATATACAGACTATTACAGACGTGGCTGCGAAGAACACGAATTGACAGGAACGTACGATTATTTCGATTTGAGATCAATTCGAGACTTCGACTCTTTCGAGACAATCGAGACGTCGACAATAAGCGTGATTGTGTATTGTCATTGATTGCGCAGACGCGGCGCGAATTTTAAAATAAATTTCAAACTGATTATTAACAAGGGCTGTGTTCCAAAATTCACTGTCAGTGCTGAAAATAGTATAGTACACGTAACATAGGCTGTAGATTTTCAGCGCTGGCAATGAATTTTGGAACACAGCCACGAAATACAACATATACTTTTTTACATCCTTATAATATGATATCGGATTGAAGATTCAGAATTTGCTTGCCAATTTAATTTAACTTGTGATATTATTGCAGTAGTTTAATTGCGTTTGATAAAGTCCGGAAAAATTTCGGCGCGCAGTTTGAATAATTACAAAAATATGGTATATGTGCATATATAGGATATAGATAATTCACTGTGAATTATTTAGGCATTCAGAAAATCTTTTGACTGTCATAGGCTTGAATATGCTTATACTTAAGTATATACTTTTATATCCGTCTCAGCAGTAATATAACACATACGCGTCGATACGTTGCATATATAACTACGTCAAAAGTTTATCCAATTTTGATATATGATTTTTATAAGTATTTTATTTACTCTCAAGACTCTACTTAAGACGTCAGTCTCAAAAAGTAATAGGCTTTCTACAATAAGTAATAACTTAGCTTTAACTCTTAAGCCATAAGAAATTGATCAATTAATAAACAATTATTCTTCTCACATTCGACTGTGATTGAGCAATTTCTTACGACTTAAGATTTAAAACTTAGATTAGGTATGTAGAAAGCCCATAAGAATTCACTATGAATACAGACAGAATAGTTAATTATTTTTCTCACATTTGATTCAACTATGATTTGTCCATTTTTTACGATTTAAAATTTTACGACCATTATTTTTGTTGTAGATCCTACATTAATGTTCTCGTTATCTAGCTTAATTAGATTGTTTCTTTAAAGATAACAATATAGTTTTTATTAAAAAAAAAAAAAAGATTTATATCCGGCCAATTAACGCCGTCGTACCAATTAGCATTTTTTATATAATCTCTTTTAGCTTATAAACTTTTACGTAAATTCTTACTATTTGTTTTAAGTTTACTTATCGCTGTAATTATATATCTATTTTTTATTAATCTTTTTTATTTTTTTAATTTCTGAAATCATAATTTATTTTTCGTTTAACATCATATAAGCTTTTAATATAAATTATATCCTTGTACTGTTATTCTAAAAAAAAAATCTGTTGTATATTACTTTGTTCCTATAAAAAGCGGGTGATGAATAATTATGAAAAAAATGTTTTATTTTGACGTATTTTACTAGAAAAAAATGTGCAACTTTGTTCATCATGCTATGAATTTCCTACTTAATTGTTTTCGTGATCCAATGAAATTATTTTCAGAACTGTATTTATTTAAATATTCCAAAAATTTTTAGATACTTCACTAAAATTATTCTTATCTAAGAATTAAAAAAAAATATTACTCCGATCAAATTTGTTATTTCGATCGCTTAATTGAGTACTTAACACGATATCGTAACGCCTGTAGATGCGAAGTTTTGCTAAATCACCGCAAATACGGCATTAATATTCGTAAATGATGGAACGACCGTCATAGCATATATACATAACATCGAATAATATCACCTTAAATGAGTAAGCTAAATTGCGAAATGGTAAATAATCGTGATAAGATGCGTAAATATTCGCGACGTTGGAGGCGTTTGACCGAACGCTTTTTGATGTCGCGTATAAGTGACTTCGTTTCGCGAGTTTCAAAGTCTGCTGATGTAGTTCTCGTCGTGGGTACAAGTGTTCCATGTCGATGGCACTTCACTG